CAAGATCTATTTTTTTTAAAGAGTACCAATTTAATACTTTAAAACAACACATGCTGGCCAAATTTAGAAAGCTCATTACTAAATAGCATGATAGATACTGACAAGAAAAATGCTCTCTCTAATTTCCTGTGTGATCTAGGGCAAACCCTGACCTCACTGGTCTCAGTACCCCAACGCTAAAATGGGCATAGGATGATCCCTGGGTGCCTTCCAGGTTTGCGCACCGTTGACCTATGATTTGGAGGATTTTTTAGAGCAATCCATTTGACAGCACCTAAAGCATTATTATGTTTCCTGAGCTGACAACACCATCTAGTGTGTGCAAGAAAGTAGGACACAGTGACCCACTCCCCAGGTGCTTATTTCTCTCTCTTTGTCTCACTCAAATATCCCGCTACTCAAAGCATGGTCCATGGCCAGCAGCATTGGTATCAATCATCTGGAGCATACGATAAATGCAGAATCTCAAGGCCCAGCCCAGATATCCAAAACCTGAATCTGCCAGGTGATTTGTGTACAATCAAGAAATGAAAAGGACCACTTTAATAAAGGAGAAAATGGAAGCCAGTTAGCACAGGAAAGTAAGTTTAACATACTCAACCCATAAAGAATTTCAGAATTAACCCATATAAATAAATACTTTCCAACTGACATGGAGTCTGTTGTGTGATGAAGGTGCAGTTTCTTGGGAATTTTTGCAAGTCTTCAGAAAGGAACCTGTTCGAACAGCAGTAGGCATCTGATGACAGGATGACAGGATGATACCCCTCCCCGCCCCCCCCCCCCCCGTCCATATCAAATGCAGTACATTTTCTGTATTGTTATTCGTTTAATAATCACACCGGTATGTGGCAGGCTGAATCCTAGGATGACCTGTGGGATTCCTGTCACCTGGAATGCATGCCCTGTGTAATTCCCAACCCTTACATGGGCAGGAACTGGGAATAGGATGGATAGCACTCCAGAGAAGAAACGTTGCAGATGTAACTAAGATCCCTAATGCATTGACTTTTCAATTTATGCAACAGGTTATCCTAATGGAGTGAGCTCTTAAAAGAGACAAGAATCAACAAGACACTCTTCTACTGGTTTGAAGAAGTAAGCTGTAAAGTTGGTGAAAGGGGTTGCCTGGTTGGGATGGCCTAGTGGCCTCTTAGAGATGAGGTCCTAAGGGTCCTTAGCCCTGGGGTCCCAGGGAATTGAATTTAGCCAACAGGCAGGGAGCTGGGAAGAGGATCTGTGTATCAGATGAAATCACAGTGATGCTGGACACCTGCCTTGCAGTCTTGGGCAGAGAGTCCAGCCCAGCCATGCCCAAACGTGACTTACAGAAACTAAAAGCAGCTAAGTTACAAAGGCTTCAAAGCAACTGTTTTAAATATATCCCAGGAATTCAACTATATTCAAAGACCTAAAAGGAAATGTGCTCACAATGAGTCAGTATATAGGAAATCTCAACAGATAAACACACTACACAAAGAGCCAAATGCATATTCAGGATTGAAAAGCACTACAATTGAAATAAAATGACTATAAAAGCTCAGATTTGAGCTGGCAGGTTTGAGAAGACAGAAGCAATCAGTGAACTTAAGACAGACCATTACAGAGGGTTACCTGGAATCAGACGAAGGAAAAGCATGGGAAATGGTACACATTTGGGCAAATGTATCAGACACATGTATTTGTATGTATATTTCCTTTTTTCCTACTGTTTAAATAATTATACCATTCTATTGTTGAGTTTATAACATATATGGATGTAATATACATGGCCATAAAAGCACAGAGGAAGGGGTCGGAACTATACTGACACAAATATGCTGAATTTTACTGGAATTTATTGCAATAGTAAATAGTCAGGAGCATACTAGGGGAATCTTTAAAATACACAGCCAAGAATTTTTTTCTTTTTTTTTTAAATAAATTTTATTTTTATATTCCCCATACAATTGCAACCCCCTTATTTTGACCCCAATCCCTCCTTTCGTCGCCCCCCATAGTTTTTTGTTGATTTTGATTTTCACTTTCTTATAGTTATTCATTTTCCTGGTCCCTTATTTAAGTTTTCTAGATTCCTGCTAAGAGTGAGACCATCCGGTATTTTTCTTTTTCTTTCTACAGCCAAGAAATTTTGGGGGCCAAAGACAGGCTGCCCCAGATTATGTGTAAGTGGTCTGAATAAGAGAAGATTCAAAAGTGATGTTTTGCCTAACTACTCCCTGAAAACAGGAAATCACTGGTGGTGTGGGAGGTGGGAGACTGCCTTACAGCCTTATCTTTATCCGCCCAGGCTGGGGCCTGCCAGGTCTCTTTTCTATGCGTATGTTGATAAAACCTGCAAAATTCCCTTTTCTTTAAATCATTGAGTTCTTTGTTCTGTTTTTGCCTCTTAAACTTATACAAGCACTGGGTACAGTCAGAAGCTCACCAGAGCCAGAGCGGGGAGCAGAGCAGGCAGAAGGACCGAAGTACACTGCTGAGGGGAGCAGCGGGCGGCAGGAGAGGTCTGCGTGCCAATTGCTACATCGAACCAGCGCCGCAGGCCGCGGGAGCGACCAGCCGCTGCGAAGGCTAGAGACAATTTATCATCACAGGAACGACCAGAAGGCAGATTCATATTCCATGGGCCCCGTGCCTTTTCTCTTCTTGCTCTCTCATGTCATTTTAATTTTCCAGTCTTAAGAACCTAGAAGGGCAGAGGAAGAGTAGCTTCCTCCCCAACAAAAGTAACAGAGACCACTCTTACCTCCATTATGCAGGTGAGGACTCGAGTCCTGGAAGATGAACCACCTGCCACAACCTGGTCTCCCGCCTCCGTGAACCAGGACTGGAGGTGACGCAGGCCTTCCAGGAGTCAGGATGCACCCACTGGCTGAGTGCGCACACCAGGAAAGGAAAGGCTCTCCCACTGCTCTACACTGTCCCGCAGTCTGAAAATATTTCCCTCGACATCCTTCACCAAAGGAGATTTAGGCTGTGTCCTCCCTGCACTCATTACAGATTTTGTCAGCATTCTCTGTCTGCCTGAATGGTCTTCCCAGGCCCTGGAGGAGTTGATGCCCTTCATCCAGCTCAGACTAACACTGCAGAAAGGGCAGGGAGGACAGACAGGACAGGACTTCTCAACCCCAAACTCAGTGCCAGCATCTTGGCTGCTCTGTAAATAACCATCACAGGAGGGAAGCTCCAGCCCCACAGAGTGTTTATGAGGAATGAGCTACGAGGAAGGCACACACCATGTTCCTGATTGCTGAGGACCTGCTGAATCCTGCACAGGTTAAAGGAACAAAATTAGTTAATATTTATGTTTTGAATAAACACCCGTGGGCATTTGTGGTGCTTCCCACTTGACAGAGCATTTATGAATCTAGAAATATAATGAGCCTGATGGAGGACAGGAATAAAAAAAAAAACCTGAAAAGGAGGCCACAAGACCAGAAACTTGGCTCACACAAGGAGGTGGAGGTAGAAGAAATTAGCATAGCCAATGACCCAGCTATGGAAACCACACTCCTTAGGTGCCAACGCCTAGATCACAAAGCATAACATCCAAGCAGGTATCAGAGTGCCCACCCAAAGGTAAAGATATGGAGATTGAGCCCATTGTGGAATCTCCTGTCCCTCTCAAATTCTGCATAGTTATCCAAAATCAGCAACTAACCAAAGGCTCACAAGGAGTGACCCCTCCTAAACAGAAGAGGACTATATCAGTGCAGTCTCTGCACAGGCTGGGGCTGCAATCCCACTGCCCACCTCTGACTATGCAGGTGCCTCTTTCATCACTCTCTCCCTCCGCAGGGCAGCAGCTTCCTGCCTGCCTGTGACCTGTACCATGCCCGGGACTTCTGTCCACTGCCCCCCCTCAGCAGAGGCAGCTCTCCTCAAGGCTACCCACCTGCAGGCCTCTCTCAGCAAACCTGTCTCTTCTGGGCAGCTCTTTCTGCCCGCTTACGTCTCTGCGAGTGTCTTTTACTGTTTTATCCCTTCCCTAATAAACCTGCTCTTTAAATATAACTAATGACTCTGTCTCAATGAGAAACTCGCCTGGGGCACTTGCCGCGTGTTGCTGAAAAGGGAGCTCTGGTGAAATCTTTCCCAGTGAGCCCAAGGGCCCTGCACTCCAAACCCACTGACTCCAAAAAACGACAACAAGCCCATTCTGTTCACCATTAACAAAGATCTCACCTGCTCCGTGTTATTTAATCCTCACCACCACCACACAAGCTTGGCTTCATTACCCTCATTTTACAGATGAAGAAACTGGAATTCAGAGTGTAACAGAGTTGTCCCCAGGGAAAGGGAAAGTTCCAGGTTCTCTGCTCCAGCCAAGCCGGGCAGGGAAGAAGGAGAAGCTGGAGGGGGAGACTGGAGAAGGGAGGGAGAAAGATGGGGAGCAAGATGGAGGCCTGGAGGAGGCACATGGAGCAGAGAGACATGTGAAGAAGCTGCACTTGCTTTTTAGTCCTAGAATGGTTGAAACAGATGTGGGTGAGAAACCTGTGGGGAGGGGAGGTAAACAATGGCAGCTTTTATCTTGATTTTGCTCTTTTCCTTCCAGACATGCTGAGCCCCTTCTGCCCTTTACTATGGGTTCCCACAGGGAAGTGCCTTGGACTGTGGCAGGCTTTCAGGCCTCAGTGGCCCTGCTTTGGGCCAACCCTGTTTGGCTGGGCATTTACCCATGAAGGGATGGGTAACTGGGTGCTTGATTTGGAAACTATATTCTTTGTCTTTTCTTTGTATTGCACACTGATTGTATTAAAGTTCCTTCCCACTAAAGGTCCTGCACACTAGAGTGTGTTTTGCCTTGATGCAGCAGACAGCAGAGCCTATTTAGATCAGGCAGGTTTGGGGGTTCTGGGGTGCCCCCTCATCCTGCTCTGTAACAAGAGCAGTTAAGACACAGCAGACTGATCTAAGCCCCATCAACTGGATGACTGATCCGTCAGTGAGAAGGATCCCTCAGGGAGGAGGATTCCTCAGAGCAGAGGTGTACAAAAAAGAGCCTGAGACACAAAGAGATACTTTTTAATCAGTTGTACATATATCTTCACCTCTCACATTTGATTAGCTGCAAAAACACAGATCTGCAACGTTCTCACATTTATAATAACTCATTCATATTGATTCCATCAAGTTGACAAGATCTCAGTAGTGCACAGGGGTTGTTTACAAATCAGAATCACTGGGAGAAACTTTAGCAGCTACTGCTACAGCACAAAATCAAACATTGATTTAAATGACCAAATATCATTTATGAACAAATTCGAAATCGAATTCACAGAAAACATGAAAATTTCTTCCTGACACTCTTGTATGATAAAAATGACATAAGCATGTTTTTAAGTTATAAAGGTAACTATGCAAAGCAAAGATTCACTCCACAGCTAGGCACGTTGGAAGTCCACTGTGTGTGCAGGAAGTTTAGATGCTGAATTGTTCCTTCGAGGCTTCAGCTTTGGTTAGTCCTCTTTGGCTAACAAACATTAACCACCTTTCTGAGTTTTGACTATGGCAGCACACAAGACCAAACAGCATTTGTTATTAAATAATCTAGAAGATTTCAATGACCTGAAGGAATGAATACAACGTTCCTAGAGTCCACATATTACACTGGGAGAAACCCAACTCGACTTTTGAGGTATTATCAGTTTGTGCAAAGTACATGACGTGAATCTAATCTCCACACCTGCAAATGTCTTCCTACCTGGCACTCCTTGCAAATGCCAACATAAGACATTCACCTTTTTTGCCAGGGGGAATAAAAAGGCACGGTAGCATAATATACTTGATAGAAAAATATTTAAAGGTTTTAATTCTCTGAAAGCTGAGTTAACGTTTTATAATTACCCTTAGAAAACAGGGTATTGGGGAACAATATTAAAGTCTGCAAAATCAGTACAAAGTGTATTCACATTGTTATTAGATCCAATGTCACGTTCACAAGTGAAAGGCAGCCACGCTTGGTGGGTGGAGCTGAGTCTCTGCCGGGCACAGAGTCGGGGCCCTGCTGCCCCTCTGGGCTGTGTGGTCACACTCTACGACATGCGCTCCTTGAAGAACCACTGCTGATGATCTGAGTAGGTGCAGTCTCGCAAGACGGGTATGAAACTGTCAGTGAACATCTTCTTCTCAGCCTGGACACATTTCTTAGACTGTCCATGAAAAAAAGAACCATCCTACAAAAGATTATATAGACATTGGGTATTCAAGAGAATGACAAACAACCCCTCAGATGGATCTTTTTCCTTAAAACATGTTCCTAGGAGCTCAGGGTGAGTGTTATCACGTCAGGAAAATTTACTGAAGGGTAAGTGCATTGTTGGAAGGCACCTCAGGGCTGTCAGGGCAATGAGAGGGGTGCTGGCCTCTCCTAGGAGCCCTTTACAGCATCCAAAGCCACTTTGTCAACACCAATGGTGCCACCTGCTGGCTGCTCTGGGCATCAGTCAGACCCAGCATTTCCCTACTGCTTTTCTTCCAAGAAATCGTGACCAAAGATCCTTTATTAATGTCTCTCACTTCTCTTAGGTCAACGAATTTCATCCCCAACAATCTGCCTCTCTTACAGGAAAGTCAGGAGAGATGGATTTAGTTCCAGCTTGGTTCAGATCAGCTGGGTGAGGCGGCAGGCCAGCTAGGGGGAAGTGGGTTCTACCCACCATGCCAATTCCCAAACCCCAAGAGACGATGACCCTCTTTATTGCCTCTCTCCTCTTTCCCAACTGCTGTGGAGTTAATTCAGCAAGTCTCTCTCCGAGTCCTGGAGTTTATCTTTTCCCTCCACCTCTCTGTTGTAAGCTGTGCACACCCAAGGAACCTACATGGCTGAACAGCAAACAGGCAACAGCCTGTTTCAGGGAAAGAAACCTTGGAAATAAAATTTGATGCAAAAGAATCTCTATAATATTAATCTTGCAAATCCTCAAAAGGGCTGACAAGCTGCCTTTAGAGTATTAAGAAAAATAATTAAAAGTATCCCTTTTACCCTTTAAACAATCTTACTTTTCCTTAAATGGCACCTGAAATCAATGATAAAATTTTAATAACACTCGTGGGCTTACAACGGCTTCCCGTTGGAAGAAAGCAGAGAAGGTGAGGGCATCACAGAGGGTCACCTTGGGGGTTACAGAAGTATTCTTCCCTCTTTTTATTTTTTAATATGAGATAGACAGCACTAGGGTGCTTGGCTTTTCCAGGTAGTCTCCAGAAACTTCACTGCTAATTATAACATATTCTACAGAAAAGCATCTTCCATCTTCTTAGACTTAAAACGAACCCATTTATAAGCAGCAGATGACCTGGAGCCGGGCTGGGAATGAAAGCTGACCAAGGAGACAAAAGAACTAATTTTTCTTTCGAATTCTTTTCTTTGGATTTTAAATGCCCCTATGTACTTCAGTGCGCCAAAGGTTATGGCTGATTTATGAGTGCCCTCATGAGCTGCCTGCAAATGTGGTGGGGCTAGAGCCTGCAAGCCTCAAGTAAGGCCCCGCTCCAAATCAACAGTGATATTCTGACGGAGAATGGAAACCACCAGAGAGGTGCCTTCTAGGATATTATGCTGCAAGCAATAAGGACAATTTCTGGCCATGCATCGTATCCTTACTAGAGTTAGGCAAGGCTGCTGTTACTGTCGCCATTTTAGAGCTGGGAAAACCAAGCATTCGAGAAGTGGAGTGTCTTATGCCTAGATCTCACCTGACAGCCTCGCACTGTGGCTATTTGTTTCACTGATTTAAACCCTATTTCATCCTGCAGTGCATTCAGGACCATTCCTATTCCCACCCCAGTACAGGGGCCGGTGTAAGGGAGATGGAAAGACCGAAAGGGGGCCTCCCCGGTGGCGCAGCAGTTGAGCGCTGGGTTGTGAAGCTGCCCGCAGCCTCTGCAGTGCCGGTTCGATCCCCGGCTGCTCCCCGGCCGCCACCGGAGGAGGGTCCCGCATGGTGCGCAGACCTCTCCTGCCACCTGCTGCTCCCCTCAGCAGTGTACTTCGGTCCTTCTGCCTGCTCTGCTCCCGCTCTGACTCTAGTGAATTCTCTCACCCTCCCACGCTTCTGACTGTACCCAGTGCATGTATAAATAAATAAATAAATCTTAAAAAAAAAAGAAAGAAAGACCGAAAGGGAGTCAACAGGGAGAAGAGAGGGAAAGTGCTAGTTACAGAGGCCGGAGGCTGCAGGGCTCCAGGGCACCCACCCATTCCCCAGAGCACCCCCAGGGGGGTCACATCCCTGGGCCCCTATAGGACAAGCCAGAGGGAAGCTTTACTTCTATGCTCGGACCGAGAAGACAGCAAGGAAGTGTTAGGGGGAAAAGGATATCCTAAAGCTAATTCCATACAGGCTTTGTGGACTCCACCCCCACCCCAGGCCAAAGCCAAAGACACTGGGAACTCCAAATCCCATCACCACCAAAGGGAAGGTGGCTGGGACCTGAGGGTGGGGTTAAGCAGCCAGGTTGGTATAAAGCCAGACACATGGGCTTTAGAGGGGATCCCCCCATTTTTGGCTCTCCACCAGCTCACAGAGTCTGGCCAGCTCTGAGAGTGCTTTTTGGGTTTCCAGGTCGCCAGATCAGGTAGGACACATTAAAGACTTCATTTCCCTATTTTCTCCCTGAGTTGTACATTTTCCTTATTTCCCTTTCGCTTGTAAATAAACCTTTTATTAACCTTTTGTGTGTGCCTGTAGTGGAGTATTCATAAGTCCCTTGTAAGCGCGCGGATGAGGACCCACAGCCAGGCAACCCGTTCAATATCGGGGCTGCCCTATAACAGCAGGAATGGAGTACTTGCTCACCTCCCGCAGGAAGAACTTCTGATTCTCTGGGGCAGTTTCCTGGCAGAGATGCATGGTGAGAGTGTCGGCTCCCGCTTCCACAGCTAAGCAGGCCTCTGGCTGGTTGGTGTTGTAGCGCAGTTCATTCTTGGATGTGTACTCAAAAAACTAAAAATGGAGCAGCGGACATGCGTCAGTTACCCTCTAACACAGAAAGTGGGGCATTCACTGGATGAGAATGAACCTGGGGTCACAAGAGCCCATCAGTCTCCTCCAGAATGTCCCCCCTCATGTGGCAGACCTCTTGGCCATGAGCAGCAGATGCAAACTGGGGGCTATTCTTATGCCCACCCCCTTTGCTAGAGTGAGGGTGGTGTCTGGATCATCCACACCCACTGTGCCTAGCCCTGGGTTGGGGTTCAGTAGGGATGGGATGGATCTGAGAACATGCATTTTGAAGCTCTCAGCTGGAAGAATACCTAAAAAAGATTGAAGAACCAGAGTATGAATATGAAGTTGGAGGGACCTAAATTGTGAAAGTTTACTGTTGACCATAAGGTGTCTTAATATTCAAATGGAATTGGAATGACTCCAGGTTGGAAGAAAACTTGAGTTCCCTTCATCTTCAGGCATTTGATCCTCTCAAGACAGTCAGGCTTTGAAGGTCCAGAACCTCATCTCCTGGCTCATCTGGATCCTTGACTGGCCTGGCCGTGAGGGGCCCATTTGCTTTCCTGGGCTGGGAGTTCTATTCTGTCCTCAGACCCTCCAGGAGTTGCTCAGTATGAAGCATAGCACTTAACCCAGACAGATCTGCCCAGGCCCCCAGCGAAGGCAATTACCCTAAACACTGCTTTGATGTGGGAGTATGCAGCAAAGCCTCTAATTCCCTGTAAGGACTAATTCTAAGGAAATCACCTGAAATGCAGATCTGTTGTTTTTTCCCTTCTCCCCCCCCCCCCCCAGGATTAGTGGCATAGGTTTAAAATTGCAAAACAGGAAGGTAGGGAATCTGTTAATATAACTACATGACAGGATACAGAGGCCAACAGAAATGATAATCTCAAAGGCTGTCTAATAATAAGCACGGCTACGTCAGCAGAAATAACAAAATATAAAACATATAAAAACTATTCAGAACGCATCAGACAAAGCCTGTGCATAAAAGAGATAGAAAATATGTCCTTATTTTAATGGTGGATGTTCTGGTCCCTTTAGCTCATTACTTGCTTCTTTTTATATTTCCCAAATATTCAATAATGAGCATATGTAACCTTTTTAATAAAAAAACCAAACATTTAATTTTTAAAACACACACACATTTCCTCTCATTTCCCTCTTTAGAACCCACACCTCGATCCTTGAACACAGAGCCTCCTGACATCCTCCCCCAGCCTGAGAATGTCAGACCTCAGAGAAGCAGCAGGTACCTGGTTCTGGCCCATCCCATGACAGGGGTACAGAATGACCTGGTGTCCCACGATCTGGTTTTCATTGGGAGGATTGTAGTCAAAGCAATAGCCACGTAGTCCCTTGCTCTGGAACTAAATAAAACATAAAGATGGTATTTTGGTCCACATATATATGACAATATATTCTACCCAATGCTCTGAGGGTAGTAAACGGATTGAGAAGAGTGCCCACCTCATGAATCAGACTCAAGGGTAAGAGCCCCTTACATTTCTAGTTTTAAAAATACATGTACAGAATCATGACCCCTATTTTAAGATGAAAAACATGATAAGCAGGGAGACTGACCCTTTAGTCTGGAGAACTCATACCTCTTCATTTATCATTAGTACAGCCTTATTACTACACTAGTCCCAACATAGCTGAGCTGTCACATGTACCAAAGAGCTCCTGCTATTATGCAACTGCACAGAACACCAAATTGAGAGACCCAGCATTCCCTAGAACAGAGGCCCACAGTTCTAGATTACAGGAACAGTGTAATACAGGTCCTGCCACAAGTGGACATACCCAGGTCTTGGATCCAGGACCTCTGACTCCAACCAAATACCCTCTCCTCCGTCAGTCAACACTGTCTTCTCTAATGTCACCTCTAAGTTACCTTGTGGCTCTAAAACCCTTAAATCACTGTAAGAGCAAAAACCATGGGAGGTTCACTCTCCCTCCTTGGCCAGCTAGCAAAGGAAAACTTTGAAAACTAGGAGGAATCTGAATATGGGCTAGATAGTCAATGATACCATGACATTACTGCATGATTGGGGTGCTGGTGGTGGAAACATGCACCGAAGTATGTAGCAGTGAAATAACACGGTGCCTGGACTTTGCTTGAGAAAAAGGAAAACAAGGGAGGGTGGGATAGAGGAGGAGGAGAGCCAGAGAGGCAAAAATCTTGATAATTTCAGTATCTTGACCACAGGCTTCATTATGCCATTCTTCTATGTTTCTTTGTGTTTCAACACTTGATAGTGAAGACTGAGTTGAGTGCATTCATAGCCTGCTTTGTATGTATCGAAGCTTCCAGATGAGACAACCACACTTCCTACCCACAGGACACAGCAGCAGAGACCTAGTTCCCTTGGCATGGTTCTTCACAAAGCCAAGGCACAGGACATCTGAGTTGGCTTCATCTTAGAAACATTGAGGCTTTCTAAATAACAGAAATGACTCTCCTGCCCCACTACTGCTTTTGTGGATGCCCAAGTGGGAATTATTAACTAGTCTGTTCACTGAGGCTTGAATTAATGTGAGAGTGTTTAAGTGAAAAATAGGAAACAGAAACACAAATGAGTCAGAGTTTCCTCATCTATAAAACGGGAGGCTTATACTTTGCTAATCAAGATGGCATCTAGTGCTCACCTTCCAGACCAGAGCCCCACCCAGACACAAGGGGAGAAGGTAGAAGAGTGAATGAAAAGGAGGGAGGGGTTAGAGGAAAAGGTCCCCACAAGAGCCTTTTCTTGCCCAGGACTTGTCCATCGACCTGGAGGCCAGCATGGCCTGCCCACCACACGTGCGCCTTGCTCACCATCCCGAAGAAGCCAGGCCTGTCTTCAGGCACATGCAGTTCTGGATACACATTCTCCAAAAACCACCTGAAGTCCTTACACTGGAGCTTCTCACGGAGCTGCCGCCTCTCTGTCACGTCCCCAAAGGGTTCCTGAGAAAATAACACAACGGTGAGCCCCTGCAGGTCACAGCATTCCTGTCACAGCCCCTCACCCAATGCCCGTTCGCTGAGGGTGGATTGCGTGCCATGCCCTGTGCAGGGGATAAAAACCAGCCCGAGAGAGAGCTGCAGCTCTCCGGCAGGACTGTGGCACCATCATTTCCCAGGTGCTCTCACTAGAGGGAGGAGCCACCAGGTGCCCGAGGCAAGGACACCAAGCACCTGCCTACGGAACCAGAGAGCCAAATCCTGGGCCTACCCCAGCCCACAGGACCAGCACATCCCTGAGCTAGTGGCCCCAGGTGTCACTGCTCAACCACTGACATCTGAACACGTGCTCTCAAACACAGGCACGTGCTCCAGATGCAATCATGAATGGAAACTCAGGTGCTCGACATATTGAGTTTAAATACACACTTCTGACAGTAAGAGCAAAATTCTGCAATAATCAGCAGTTGTGAAAGTTAGTTTTATGTACAAAACTAATAATTAAGAGCTTTCAGATACTAAGCGAGCATCTACTTAACCTGGCAAATGTGCGGCCCCAGGAGCAATGCTGAGGGATGGCGTTACTCTCCTGGCGTGGTTCATGATATTAAACCATTCAAATTCAACAAGTTAAATATTTGGCAAAATAGTAATAGTGAGTCAAAGTGTCAGAAAAAAACATTCAGACTTCTAATTTCCCAGAAGGTCATTCTTTGATGAATCACCATGCTCTCATTTTAATACTGGACCATTGAGCATCCAGAGAGATGGTAGAGGCAGAGCCCCTGTGACATATTCTTCAGGAACCTTCAGCAAGGGGGAACTGGGGTTCCAGACTGGATGACAGGAAAGAGCAGATGCTTCTACCCTGCAGCCTCAGGCAGGACAGAGGAAGCAATGACCCTGGAGCTCAGGGACAGAAAGAATCAAGGGGGAGGCCAGGGAGCAGGGCCAGGTGTCCAGCAGAACAGAGAGCAAGGGAAGTGAGGTCCATTGCAGTGCACAGGCGCAAGGCCCAGCTCTACCCACATCAGCTACCAGGCCATGGGCACGTTCCTTAATCTCCCTCTCTCCAAATTTCAGTTTTCTCCTATACAAAAATGAGGCTTTCAGAGCTAGCCTGGCAGGATGCTGAAAGGGTACAGGGAGGAGACTTTCATCAAGCAGCTAGAAGAGAGTCTTAAAGCAGGCCTTCTTGCAAGCCAAGTGGCCCTACTAGTTATGTGAATGCACAGGAAATGGACACCCTGTCCCAAGGTGTGCTGGACTGCACAGGGGCAGCATGGGGGTTGGGTGGGAAGGGTAAGGGGTCTGAATCCTGGGATGTTTCAGGAAAGAAGAGGCAGATCCTGCATGCTCAGGAGCCCGAGGGCAGAAGCAGAACAAGGCTGGAGGCGGGGGAGAACAAGTTTGCTGAGATATTTCATCTTGAGGCCCATGCCTCAAGATGGCCTGGAGCATGGGCCAGTCTCCCACAAGTCAATGGGAGTGAGGTAGGGGGAGGAATTGTCTCAGCACAGTGGGTGGTCAGCATCTATGGGGGGCAAACCATGTGGCTGAAACCTCAACACTCCATCACTCTCCTCTCATGAACTGCTTGGCCAGGCCTCCCCCAGGGCAAGGTGGACCTGCACCTGTTAGGCCGTGGGCCCCACCTTCAACACCTGCCACACCTGGTAAGGGGAGCAGAAGGCAGGGTTGACTGGCCCACTGGCCTCTTCTCTGTCTGGAAATGGAAGCAAAACAGACTCTCATTTGGGAAGAAGTGGCCTCTGGGGCTCGTGGACAAGTCAAAGGGCCAATAAGCAGCTCAGGATGGAGACCCCAGACCACCAGCTAACAAGGCAGTCATGCCCCTGAACAACAACTTCAGGATAAACAACTGCACCTTAATTTGCATGCTGTGTGAGGACTCAGTCCCACATGACAAAGGGATAAGCCTGCTGTTCCAACATCGGAGGAGGGATGCATAACTAGCATGTGAGACAGGCGCTGTCGACAGCCCACAGCCCACGCGCATTGTTGGCTGAGACTGCATTTGCATGTTTGCCTATTTGCTAAAATGTATTCGTAACCTCAAAATCAATACTTGTGTTGTCTTCTCGTTTTCAGTCATTTGCAGACATGTTCAGAATGTTGAAATGTTTGAGTCACCAGCGAGTCTGTTCCCAGCTGAGGTCTTGTTTCAGCTCTCACACAGTGAACAAGTGTCCTGTGGACAGTTGACCACGTTTTTCAGATTTCTGGGCTTTGTGCTGGGGGTTTGAGTTGAAAATGGTCCCCAGGCATAGTGTTGAGGTGCTGCCTATAGTTCTTCAGTGCGGGAAAGCTCTGATATGCCTTTCGGAGGGACCAGGTCAGTCAGACAAGCTTCACTCAGGTATGAGTTACAGAGGGAGCCTGGCTGTGAGTTCAATATTAATGGATCAACCATACTAAATAAGGTAGCTTTTAACAGACAGACAAAAAACCAAGTTATTTGATTGGCTAGTTGAGAAATATGTGACCTGAGGCTCACAGGTATCTAACCCTGCCTTGCTCTAGAAGCAATAGCTCAGTATCCCCTAATTCCAAGTTTGCAGTGAATAGAAAAACTATTACTGTGAGCGAAAAGAATCAATTGTATATCATTTATAAGTGAAGGAATAAGTTTCCTCATACTTGTGTCATGACTTCCAATTCCTGTTTTATTTTCAGAACCACTTCTCTTTGGTACAGAGATCAGAATTAGCTGTTTCTGTTTGGATGAAGCTAGATGGGGTGCAGGAGGGTGGGGAACTCACCAAGCGGGCGTGAGGATTGCGATGGTAGTAGAGCTCTTTAAATTCATCCATCCACACTTCGGCTGCACGGACACTGTTGGCCAAAGCCTTTTTGCGGGAGTAGGGAGCTTGCTTGGGGAAAACGTGGCCGACGTGAGAACATGGGTGTGTCTCCAGGATCCCACCGCATTGCCAGATCTGCGCACAGAGCAGAAGGCCAGTTCGTGAGTGGTCAGTGTGGGCTGTAAGTCCACATGCCTGCAGCAAGGAGGCCGGGCACATGGCTGTCATGATGAACACTGCCAAGACCTCACCCTCCAGGGGGCAGGAGGCACATCCCCCACACATCCGGGACAGAGAACACAGTCAAAGAGCAAGAAAGCAGCCCAAAACAACCCTCAGAACCCAGACCCCCAGTCCATGCACTGAAACTCATGCACTTGACTCACAGGGGCGCCCATAGTTGACCTTGCTGAGAACACATTTAATCATGTAAAACAGGCTGATTACCTGATCTCCTAGCCACAGAAGATAGGAAAGCAGCGAGTAAGAAGAGAGGTTTGGAAGGGAGAAAAGAAGAACTTCTAGAGGCAGGCAGAGCAGCCTGACACCTAGGGAAGAGGCAGAAAGACCATTAAAAGCACTCCCCAAAACACCATGGGCTGAGCCATCTGGGGCCATTTCATGCCGAGGCATATCGCTATGGACACTCATCATCCCTAGCATGGATGACCAAGGACGGCAAGGGCTTGAACCATCAGCAGAAGGCCACATGTTGTCTAGTAACTTATTTTTACCAAGGAAGGAAGCCATATAATGCTCTTTTCTCCTCAATAAAATGTTATTGAAATTTTCAACTTTCAATGGAAAGGCAGGAATATTCATGGAAGGTTCTGATACTTAAAATGCAAGACATAGTTAATGGGACAATCTACCTTTGGTTGCTCAAAGGGGCAGAAAGAGCAGAACCAGTAGGAGGACTCATTACAAAAAGCAGACTCCTGGTCCCGACAGTGCACCTACTGAATCTGACTTTCTGGAGAACTTGTCTAGAAATCTGCCCCTTTCACAAGTTTCCTGACCATTCTTATAGGTATCCAAGTCTGAGAGTCACTATGCTAAATAATGAGGTTACTTCACGAGCAGCTAAGCAAATCCCAGCTCCTAAAGATGGGAGAAGATGGCAGGGACCTGTATTTCCATTAGTCTCCTGCAATTTGTCCTTTGAGTGACCTTGAGCAAGTGTTGTCCTAGACCAAGCCTTAGTTCCCCTCCTCTGTAGAGAGAGAAAAGAACTAGGTGCCGTGCAAGGCCCTTTCCTGCCCCAAATCTATTAAATACACACACACACACACACACACACACGTATGTTTAGAAGTTTATATAACACAAGCATGTTTATAGGATGCAAGGGCCATTATATTCTTTCAGGACCAATGGATCAAGTGCCAATAAGGAGGCAAAGTTCACCAGACCTTCATAAAATCCCATCAGAGAGAAGGAGAACAAGATTAAAAATGAACTAACAACTATAGTACTTACCCTAAAGGAGAATTCGAGGTTTTCTCCACCCCAAACTTCCATTCCTGTATCATAAGACCCCAGATATTCAAAGTATTTCTTACTCACAGCAAACAGTCCACCAGCCATTGTTGGAGACCTAGAAAAGTATGATACCGTGTTTCAATGCCAGTAGCCGGACACCATCACGGTTGGTTGAACTTCCTTGCATACAAGCGGGTGGTCCACTCACCATCTCATAGCCTATGGAGTTCAGGCACTGGGCCTGGTGCCAGGCTGGCCTGCCCTGGAAAGCCCTCAGGCATCTCACCAGGCAAGCACAGGAGCCTGTGTGATAACTGTGTTAACTAAGGTCAACCCAGGGCCCTTTGTCAATACCAAAGAGGACATGGGGCAGAGGTGAGGGGTCAGGCTAAGTTTCCTGAGAGCAAATCGGCAGGACCAAGGGAGGTTAGCCAAGATAAGGAGTAGAGTAGTACTCCGAGAAGACACCAGCTAAGGATGAGAGAAACCCTTGTACTTTTAGATGCATGGACAAGGATAGATGAAAGAGAGTGTGTTCTTCTTGAGGATGGCAGATTCTGGGCTGAGATGGCACAGTCACACAGTAAGAGTAGAGGTACTCACTGATGCACTCAGAGGCCAGTGAGCAGTGGACCATAAAAGGCAGCTCTGGCAGCTCCCCCAGGGCCCATTTCTCTCCTGCCTGAGTGGTGTGCCCTGCAGCACTGGCCTGCTTCTTCAGCCAGCCTTGTTTTCTCCCTACCAGTCTCATCCAAAAGGCAGCACTGCTTTCAGAAATAGCCCAAGGCTTCTATCCAATCACAGCAGAAAGCCGTAAGGTCAACACAGAGATACAAAAGAATAAATTTGGAAATACATAACATTAACAGTCCAACAACTTAAAACTTTAAGATCCTCCAGTAGCAGTTCTGGGCCTTCACAAAGTATTAGTTTTGCCACTCCAACCTCTGAAGAATCTGAGAAAAGGACAGCAAGATTCCTTGTAGGAGGGAAGGTTCTAAAATACAAAGCACTTTCACCTGTGTCCACCTTAAAAGTCTAGAAAACAGGCAAGGTGGATATGCCTGATCTATTTCTCAGGTAAGGAGACAGAGTGGAAGGAGGGGGGAGTGTCAGCTGGCCACATCACTCAGCATGGGGTTGGGGAGGTCATGGGAGTACCTGTCAGTATCACAGTGGATATGTGGCCCTGGATAAGACCCTCTCTTCTCAGTGCCTCAGTTTCCAAACCTGTTCAGTTCAGTGAGGAGTTGAAGAGAATGCTCCCTAAGGGCTCTGACAGAAGCCTAGGCACCACCCTCAATTCCTCTTTGCCCCAATTCCTACTCAATTTTTTCAACATCTCTAGAATGTACCATCTCCATCCATCTTCTTCTGCACTATCATTCCTGACCTGGAAGACTGCAAAAGCTCCTAATAGAGTCCTTCCTGCCATCCTGGCCCTTCCAGGCCCCTCACCATGTGCATCCAGCACATTCTTTAAAGAATACAACAGACAAAGGTTATTTCCAGCTCAAATAACTTCCATGGCTTCCACCCTCTCATGGGAAAGTTCAAACTCCTTTCTTGGTTTCAAGGCTGGACACGACTTGACCCAATCCATCTCTCCAGCCCCATCTCTTGACACTGTCTCCATACTTGGTCCATTCTAGCCATCAGTGGGTCATCTCAAGGGAGGAAGAATTAAAAATTCTATCTACCAAATATGGGTACAGATCACAGACACCCTTTCTGGCTCAGTACTCCAGTAGTAAGTACAACTGAAGTCTGACTTCTGTTTTTCTTTCACATCTGTCTTCCATTCGGTCATGAACTTGGAAGAGGAAGAGAAGCCAGACTATTCAACACCTCAAGAAGGTCAGCAAGTATGAAAGTTCCCCTTAAGCTTATTCTACTTGAACCCAGGCTCAACAACTGGCTAAGCTGGCTCTACGACTCCAAAGTCCACTCACTTCCCCCACATCAAAAGGGGGCTGACTGAGTGTCCTCAAAATGATGAACATAAAATTGACATATGACCCAGCAAATCCACTCTAGGTAGTCCTAAAGAACTAAAAATATGGAGTCAAACACAGAGCAGTACACCAATTTCAAAACAGCAGCAATATTCAGAATAACCACAAGGAAACAGCCCATCAACAGATGAATGAGCATGCAATGGAATATTATATATCCACAAAAAGGGAAGAGTTCTGGAGTTCATAATGAAAATATTATGTTGAGGGAAAGAATTCAAACAAAAAAAGATAAATACTGTATGATTCCACTTATATGAGGTATCTAGAATAGAGAAACTCATAGAAACAGAAACAATAGAAATCACCAGAGGCTGTGGTGGGAAAAAAGGGTATAGAAAGAGTATCCATAAGGGATCATGAAAAACTTTTGGAAATAAATAGAGGTGTGGGTTGCACAACATCATGAATGTGCTTGATGCCACTGAATTGCATACTGTAAAAAGGTTAAATTAGTCAATTTTATGTTGCACATGTTATCACAATCTTTTTAATTAATTAATTATACTACTATAAAATCCATGTGCAAAGCAAAGATTTTTAGTAAAAACAAGGAAGGGGAATGGGCTATAGCTAACCATCCCTCCAGAGGGCTGGCAGGTTTACCCAGATGCAAAGGCAAGCTGACCTAATGACATCGATGGGGGACCGCATCTGCTTCCTCTCCCTCTCGGGAACCGCGTGCCATGTGAACACCAGCCTCCAGTCGAAACCGCCGATCTGGGGTTCCCCGGAGTTTCCCAGGTACTCAAAGGTGTTCCAGTCAATCACATCGATCACAGGGCACACCACTGCCTTCTCCTCTTCATGGATCCTGCAAATACCCAGACACCCAATCTCTCCATGTTGCCTGGAGGTAGAGGACATTTAAGAAATTTGGGGGTGAACCTTCCTCACACTATTACTAGGAAATAGGAACTCCAGTGTGAGAAAGGCCTACTACTTCTCTCATTACAGGTGTCTACAGCCATGTCAAATCATGGGGCGCCAATCCTGGGAGGGGTATATGGGAGGCAGGGAGCAAGGAGCCTGCAAAGTCCCACAGCTTTAGGGCCACCCTGGTGGCGCAAGGGGCTAAGCACCCCACTATGAAGCAATCCACAGCTTCTGCAGCACGAGTTCAATCTCCGGCCAGCCAGTGAGCAATCCACATGGCCAAGCAGACCTCTCCTATCTCGCCCACTGCTCCCCTCAGCACTGTGTTTCAGTCAATCTGTCTGTTCTGCTCCCCACTCTGTCTCTCGTGAATCCTCTCACCCCACGCATCTTTGGCCTGTACCCCAGCTCTTGTATGCATAAAGAAATTAATCTTTAAAAAAAAAAAAGTCCCACAGTTTTAATAGTCTCTCATTCTATCTATGGATTATTCTGGCTAAACATGAAACCCTCTATGAAAATCAAGATATGTAAAAGTCAAAAGTAAATTTTAAAACAGAAAGCAGATTTTCATCTCTCAAGATTGCAAGAGGCTTTGTCATTTAATCACAATGAAACATATTAAAGTCTAGAAATAATGATCTCCTTATAAACAGAGAAACACCCAGACCAAAAGGTCAGCTTTGGAGTTAAAATATAATTATTTTTAAGATTTTATTTTTATTTATTTACGCATACAAAACTGGGGTACAGGCCGTAGGTGCGGGGGTGAGCAGATTCCAGAGACAGAATGGGGAGCAGAACGGGAGGATCCACGGAAATACACTGCTGAGGGGAGCAGTGGGCAAGTCAGGAGAGGTCTGCTGTACCATGTGGGAAGACCCCTGGCCTGGTTGGGGATCGAACTCGTGCAGCAGTGGCTGCTGACAGCTTCACAGTGCTGAGACTTAACCCCTTGTACCACCAAGGAGGCCCAAAATATAAATTCTAATACTGCCCCTTATTTGCTGTAGGACATCAGCCAAGTCATCTAAACTCTCACAGCCTGTAGCCTCATGGGTAACACTGGAAATAATAACTGTTCATAAGTGAGCACAAGGCCTCCCTGAGGAACCTGTAAGATGGCTACTGCTACTCATGCCTATTACTGTGAAACATTACATAAACTGGAAGATGCCTATGTGATGCATCTATTCTCCCCGGAGTCCCTACTGCCAGTCCTGTCCCCCTTCAGCATGCTCTAGACTGTGTTTCTTTGTATTTGACAGCACAGCAGAAAGATGAACTGAGACTTTCTCTGGGTTGTTTGAGGGACAGTTATCTAAAATCTAAGATCTATAAGTCATAACAGTCCTACAAAAGAATGGTGTGAGGAAATAGAGATCAACCACATGTGAGTCATAAATGTCCTTAGAATAGCACCAGAATGATAGAAGCATGACAAACACCACGCTGGGGTAAGAATTAACTTCAGGGGGAATTGCATGATTCAGAACACATGGTTTGCGCTGGAGACTCAAACCTGTGAGTTCACGAAAATGAGGAAGCTGGAGACTGAGTATCCACCAACATCCCAATCTTTAAGTCAACTGAGGGCATTATTAAAAGGTTGAGAGGGGGGCCTCCCTGGGGCACAAGGGGTTAAGATGCAACCTATGAAGCAATCCACAGCCATTGCAGCATGAGTTCGATCCCCCGGCTGGCCAGAGAGCAACTCACATGGTGCTGCAGACCTCTCCTGACTCACCTGCTGCTCCCCTCAGTAGTGTGTTTCAGTCAATCTGCCTGTTCTGTTCCCCACTGTCTCTGGTGAATCCTCTCACCATCCACACCTCTGGCCTGTACCCTAGTTCTTATATGCATAAATAAATAAATCTAAAAAAAAAAAAAAAGGTTGAGAGGTCAGATCCAGGAGGCAGGTTCAAAGATGCTGCAAGCCATAGCAGAGATGTCCAAGGACTTGTGACTTGCAATTGAGCTGTTTAAAACCATGGGAAGCCTAATTTTCTAAGAAAAGGAAAACTGCGGGAGCCAGCATTGGCAGAAAGGACTCTTAATCCTTGTTAGAGAATGTGCAGGCCCGGTGGCAGCATGGCCCATGGGGGCGCTACCCGCCTCTGGGACACAGCCGTTCTTTGCTGTAGGGCATCTGGCAGCTCTGGTCCCAGAGCACACAATGCCAGAAGCACTACCTGGTTGACATGACAACCAAAAACATTTTACATCCCCAGAAGTCCCCACAGGGAAGGATTTACTGGTCCTGGTTGAGACCATCTGAGGGTCAGTCTACAGTCTAATGTATCTTAACTCTGGAGCATACCTAAGTCCCTAGGATGCTTTAGAAACACCCAGAAGTCCAGGCCTCATCCCCAGAGATACAGATCCAAATAATCTGCCCATAGAATTAGTAGGTCTAAAAGTTCCCCAAGTGTTTCTAATAGGCAATCAAGGATGGAGAATCCCCTCACTTCCAGGTATGGAGCAAAGGCTTGTCACTGGAAGGGCTGCCTCACTTTCCAAAGCGAGGCTAGAGTGGAATTCTAGGCAGCATTAGCATATCAGAGAGGGGTAAAGTGGCTGCCACATGCCCAGCAGGGGTGAGAGCAGGGCAAATCTACCAGCCCAGGTCCAGAGGAAGAACTCTGTCCCTATGTTCTAGATAATCTCAGACTCTGCCAGCAGCCTGAGGAACCCTGAGTCCTTGCTGCCGGTAAAGCCCATCAGAGCTGAGGGGGAGAAAGAGGGTGCAGTGGCAGTCACAGGGGACAAGGGCCTAGGACAGCAGGGGGAAGCTTGGTTTCATCCAGGTAGGGAAGCAAGTAGATGTCAGCTCTTCCATATAATCAAGCAGCCAAGCACTGGGGGCTATGGAAAGCAGTTTGTCAACTGCAGAGACCCTGATCCTCCAGCCTTTCACTCCGTCCACGTGGGGAGACCAGAGATTCCCCCCCCTCCCCAGTCCTTCCTCTCCCACCTGGAGGAGCTTGGGTTTGCCAGCCTAGCTCCTGACTTCTGTGATGCAGAATAAGGATCATGGCGGGGGGGAGGGGTGGTGGTGAAAGAAGCAAGAGACCAGAACAAAGTCTGGTGAGTGTGGTTTGGGGACGGGCAGTTTGGGACTGTCAGAATAAGCTACCAGACATCATGGGGAATAGCCTTGAAACAGGGTCACATTATGTTTCACGACTCCATAAAAAAGTAAATTGGAAAGTATATTTTACAACTAGATAGGTATCAAAACAAACATAACCTAGTCTAGATAATTATATATTATATTCTTTTTTTCCTTCTCATTTTATTTATTTATTTTTTTGCTTAAAATGTTCTTTTATTGATTTGATAAAATTTGGAAATTATAGAAATAAATTACAAAGAAGAGACTAGAAACCCTACAAAATGGCACCACCTAAAATAATCCTTAGAACATCATTTTGCTAGTCTCTCATTGCTGTATGCACATACTTACACACATGAGCATAATATATGTACATGCATGCAGAGACATTATTTTTGTTCCTAAAATGTATATTTTTGTTGTTTTTTTAATATTTTATATAAAATAAAATATTTTATATATATGAATATATATATCTATGAATATATAAGAAAATATATATATTTATATATGCATATATATGAATAATATATGTATATTAAGATATATAAATATATATCTTAATCCTTCTCATTTTAAAAGAAATAAACATGAAAAAACTTTTTTGGGAGTCCCTTAAAGTTTCATGGGGATGAGGCATCATAGGTTTTGGATGTAATGGATTAAGTCAGCCCTGCCGAAGGAAATACACCAAAAAGTGTATTCTCTAGGAGTGTGATTTGATAGTGGCAATTTTTTTTTAGTGTTTTTTACAATAAACATGTATAATACACAGTAGTAAGATCAAATACTCCCACATTCTGGCAAATTCTAAGCACTGTCAGGTATTAATTCATTTAACGGCCTCCAGCCTGATGAGGTTGGGGCTATTACACTCTCACTGGTGGAAGAAAGGTGCCCAGGGGTGGGGGCTGGGGGCCTCCCAGAGGTAGGGGGCACCTCATCTCCCCTTGGCCTCTCATGCCACGTGATGGGTTTGTTTCTGAGTCCATGCAGTGGAGCCCCTCCACGCACCTCTGCAGCAGTGGCTCCAGCCAGCCCTCATGGCACTCACAGTGGCAGTCCAGGAAGGTCAGCACCTTGCCCTTCGCTGCGGAAGCCCCCAGCAGCCGGGCACGCACCAGGCCCTCCCGCTTGGTGGCCCGAATCAGGCGCACCTTGGGCAGCTCGGCCAGCTCAGCAGCCAGGCGCTCCTTCAGGTGCTCTGGGGAGACAAGAGGGACAGCAACGTCAAGGCCAAGCATCCCAGACCCTGTCCCCACAGGGCTCCCCTGGTCCCTGTGAGACTCTGACAGGACTGCCATTGTTCTATCACTGGGGTCTCCTCACCTCACCCAGAACCTAGCCTGAAAGTGGCCCAAAAGCCCAGGAAAGCTAGGGTGGAGAAATTCCAGAATCACCATAGGCCCCTCATCAAAACACTGTGGAGCCCCTACACCTGCCCGAGGGTATTACATCAGCTTTGTGATGTGAGAGAGAAATCAATTTTTATCTCCAGTAAATCACTGTTATTTTGAGTCTCTGTGAGAACAGCCAAACACACCCGCCAATTAGGATGTACACACCAGGCTTTGAAGTCAGACAGACAAGGCAGAGCCTGAAACAGCAGATGCCTGAGTCCTGAAGAAGTGGCGCAGAGATGGTGATTTGGTGTGAAACAGGCTCTAGCAACTAAGCCCACAGCTCTCCCTGCTGCTACGCCTTGACATCTTCCTCCCTTAGCTGCCCTCGCTTCAGCAAGTTGCCAAAGATCTGCTGGCCAACTCCTATTCCATCCACCAGGCAGCCCCTGCCCTCCTGCTCCTACCCTCACAGCCCTGCGTAGGCTCTCCTCCCCTCCGGCTCATGTATAAGCCTCACCTGCCTCCCAGGCCCTAGCTGATCTGGCCTGCCCACCCTGTCTGCTCCCACATCACCCCCCCAGTGGGTGGCCTGCCCCAGAGAATGGCAGCTCCTTCCAAACATGCCACTGCCAAGATGATCCCAAGATCATCTCCATGATTTTCACTGAGCTGCCTCCTCTGCATTCTAGCTTCAGTTTAAAGACCACCTCCTCAAAGAGGCCTTCCTGACCTCCAGCCAGAGGGGACCCTATCCCCAGGCTCCACTTGCTCTCCCGCTTTCATGTTTCATAGCAGAGTTCTATTTTTGCTGCACAATGTTATATTAATTAAGCTGTGTTTCTTTATGTGATATGTTATGCTGTGTTCTTTCCGTGTGTATTGGCCCACTCCACCCACATTAGCAGAATATGTGTTTTATGAAAGCAGGACCTTGTTATGCGTCCCATAGAACACCCAGTGCCTGGAACAGAGCCCGGCACACAGTCAAAACTCAAAAAATGTCCAGTGAATAAACAAAGGGCTGGCCCTCGGCTGCATGTGAGTTGCTGGATCTCAGGTCACTGGTCAGGTCCCTCTCAGTGGAACACCTCTCCCTGGCTCCAGTTCTCTGATGGGGTGACCCCTTTCATCTCATCTCAAACTCCACATGTCCAAGAGAAAGCTCTTCTCTCGCTCCTCGGCCTCTCATGCCACGTGTTGGGTTTGAGAGCCCAGCCCTGTCCCTCCTGGCTTGGGTGGTTTTTCCAGCATTCCCTTCCCCTCCCCTCTGCTACCCGACTCTAAGCCTCCATCTCTTGCTGGGCCACCTCAGCAACCCCCTGTAGTCTCCATACTCTGGTCCAAAGGGACCCCCACCCCTCAAAGGCTAAAACTGCTCTCCTGCTTGAAGCACTGCCTGGCTCCCCCTGCCCTGAGGACAAGAGTCACACCTCAGCCCATCCAAAACCTTGCCCTTTCCCACCAAGCCACCTCTCTGCTACCAGGACTCCCTGAAGCAGCTGGCTCTCCAGACCCCCTGGACGCCTGCAGATTCTACACAATCCACATAGCATCAAACCTCACACCTTTTCACACTCTGTCCACTCCACACGGCACACCCTCCCTCCATATTTGCTGCCCACAAACTACTCAACTTTCAAAATTAAGGGCAGCAAACACTCCTTCCTGAGCACCCAGGGAGCGAGTCCCTCTCCTCGTTTTACCCTAGCACCATGTGAGGAGTCCTCTTTTATCACATCTGTGTCCCCCTGCCTCTGAGACCCAGAGGGCGAGGACTGGGCACAGGAGAGCAGGAAGGAAGCCCCTCCTTACCAGGCCTATCCTGCACCTCCCATGTCATGTCCTCAGCCCGCAGGTGATGTCACAAGGACAGGTCCTCCAAGAGCTAGTGCTGGGGCTTACCTCTATCGCTGTAGTCATCCACGAGGATAACTTCTTCTAGCAAGATGTCTGGGGATGTCTCGAGGACACTGTAAACTGTCCGGAGGAGAGTTGACCAGGCTTCATTATAAAATGCAATAATAACAGATGTAGTGGGCAAATCATCATAATCGTATTTCTTTTCTTTGCACCTGCAAATACAATGCAACTTTAGAAATCAAGACCCTGCTGCTGACTGCATGGACCAGGCCCAGCTTGTGGCTGGGGTAGAGAAGAGAGGACAAGGCCACAGGCTCTCATAGGGAAAGAGAAATAATAATCCTCCAGAAGCCCCCACCTCTTGATTCCACTAGGAGCCCCAGCAGATTCAAGGCAGGGTTTTAAAAAGATGCCCAATAAGCTTATACTATGGGATATTGTTTTCCAGCTTTAAAGTAATTTTCAGATTTGAGTAACATACAAACTAAGCGGCATCCAAAAACTGTCACTTCTCCCTCCTCAACAGCTCTTCTAACTGTCCACTCCCTCCCAATCCCACTGCCAGACCTTTGCCTAGACTGTGCCCTCTGCCTGCAGTGCCCTCTCCTCCTTTCTCTGCTTGGCGAACTCTGTCCTCTTTTGAGAATAACTCAAACTACTCTCCTGTGGGAAAGCCCTGGGGCCACCTGTCTGTGTAGATGCTCACTCCAAGATGCTCCTCCAGGCCCCTTGAGGCCTCCATGTCAGCAGACCTCTCTCACGGTACTGTCTCTCCCAGCACCATCCCTGCACTTCATCCTAGCAGAGACATGCTGAACAACGGAGATGTGTGGAATACGTAGGCTAGAGTCAGCACTGGCACTTAAGAACACTCCAGAATGGCACTGAGTCCACTGTCTCTGGGAGTGAGTCCCAACTGGCAATGACAAGAACCAATAAGTTTCGTCTTTGTTTTGGAAGGTTTTCTTTCTTTTTTTTTTTTTTAAAGATTTATTTATTTATTTATTTATTTATTTATTTTTGTTTATTTGTTTATTTATTTGTTTGTTTGTTTATTTATTTATTTATTTATACAAGCACTGGGTACAGTCAGAAGTGCGGGAGAGTGAGAGAATTCACCAGAGCCAGAGTGGAGAGCAGAACAGGCAGACTGACAAAGTACACTGCTGAGGGAGCAGCAGGCACAGCAGGAGAGGTCTGCGCGCCATGTGGGACCCTCGCTGGCGGCTGGGGATTGAATTGGTGCTGCAGAGGCTGCGGGCAGCTTCGCAGCCCAGTGCTCAACCTCTGCACCACCAGGGAAGCCCTGGAAGGTTTTCTTTTACTTTGCACAAAGGTTCCCTGGTTGATAGAGAATTCTCTCCATAGAGTGACTGATGACAAATTTTCCATATCATCCCGGAACAGGACAGTGCAATGGAAATCATCGGCAGGAAGGGACTGACAGCAAGTGAGTAGGAGGAGAAGCCCCAGAAGACACCAGAAGACCAGGGTTTGAGTGCTGTTCTGGCCAAAAGTTCACCCAAGGGAGGGACTGCATATAGACAAGGGGAGAAATGCTGAAGACCAGCCAGGTTCCCGGCAGAAAGGGACAGCTTACTGACAAGCGAGTGGTGGGTGACAGAGAAGGAGCGACAAACAGGATGTGGCATGACACGAACACCTGCTGATGTCAGGGCACCAGACCAGTCAGTCTCCAGTATTTCCTGATTTCCCACTGCAGGCCATATAGGCAAAGCCCATGTCCACCCAGCTTACATTCAGGGGAAAAATAACCAGGCAAACAAACATATCAAGAATTTCAGAAAGTGCTTGTGCTATGAAGACAATGAAAGAGAAAGCAACTAGCAAGGAGAGTGGAATGGGGCAAAGGGAGCAACCCCAGAACACGTCACCAGGGAGGGCTTCTCACAGGGGGTGACATTTAGGATGAGAGACTGAGAGTGAGGAATAAAAAAGTTGCTCTAAAAGCTGGGAGTGTTAGAGAAATTCAATGTCGTATCAATGTCTTTGATTTGATAACTACAACATGGTATCACAAGAGAATGACCTTTTTTTAAAGAAAATACATGCTGACATAATAATGGAATAAAGGATTATTATCCCTGTGATTCATTCTCAAATGTCTATATTACAGTATATAAAAAGAGAAAAATTCAGTAAATGGACAAAATAATAATGGGCAGATCTAGGTGAAAGATATGCAGACGTTCATTGTGCTATTTCTTTAAAAATTTTCTCTAGGTTTGAATTTTTTAAATTTAAAACTTTAATAGAAAAGGAAGGGAAAAGTTTTAAGCTTGCCCAAACACCGAGCTGATTCTGATCTATAGGTATGTCTTTCCAGAAGCCCTAACAAAGGTGCTCTCCTACCTCATCCTTTCCCACTTCCTCCTAAGCAGCTGTCATCCTCTAAATATGTGTTATAGCAAATGGAAAACATATATATGTATGTGAACAAAAATATTAACAACTGTGTCTGGATTCAATAAACCCATTAGAACTAGACAGAGTAGAGAAAAGCTGAGTCTGCCCCTAGAAGGGCCAGAAAGAATTGTTTACATTGCATGAAAATGGCTTTTATGAGACTGAAAAATAAAGATTTTCTCTTTAAAAACAGTTAAGCTAAAATGTAGTATCAAAGATGCATTGGGACAAAGAAAAATAAATGGACATAAGACAGTGAAGTAAGGTTTTCAAAAATAAAGTTTATTCAATGTAAGGAACTGTCCTTTCATCTGAAATCATATCCTCACTGTTTGGGATGAAAATCTATTTCTTCTCATAACGAGAACAAGTGGGAGGGTGGACAAAGCCCTATTTGACCAAACAGAGCTGAGACCATATGGCAGTCCCGTCTCAGTGTTCTTGTTTATGTGTTTTCACTGCTCCACGAAAACTAAAAGCTTCAAGCCACTGTGCTAGAATATTTAGGGGGATCTTTATTTGTGTCTACTTCAATCAGAGGATGCTGGGTACCAATTTGACAATACATATCCAGTTTTAAGACGTTCCTCTTCTCTTTGATCTTACAGAAATGTAGTTACGATTTTCTCCCTAAAGAGGATAATCAGAGAAACCCTAAAGGGGGCATGGGACAAAAATTTTCCTGCACAGCATTATTTTTGGTAGCAAAAAGCTGTAAACGACTGCCATATCCAACAGGAAAGAAGCAGTTCAAAACTGCAGGGCACGCCAACATGAAGAAATACTACACGGCCACCCAAAATACAATACGCTGTCAATAGCATATTCAATGATAAAGGAGAGTAGTCACATCAAAATGTTAGATCAACAAAGCAGGGCACAAATCTATAAACAGCATTAGGGCCAACTCTATAAACAATGTGTGTGTGTGTGTGTGTGCGCACGCGTGTGTATACATGCTCACATATAAACAATAAACAATATCGAGAGAAATAAGCCAAAAAATGTTAACAATGTCCATCTCTGAACAGCGGAGTTATCACAGATTCTTATTTCCTTATATTTTTTCTACATTCTGAAATTGTTCTACAATGAGCACGTACCATTCTGGGAATCAGAAAGAAAGATTACTTTTTAAAAGCTGGATCATATTTCTTTAGCTTCCATAGCAAATGACTTCATTGAGCAATAATTCAATATTCTCCCCTCGGCTTTTTTCTTGGCTTGGTAGTTTCTTTCTTTCTTTAAAACATTCCTTAAAGGCCTTCTCCTTCATGAAGTTCAATATATCCTGCCAGGAAATCTCTAAGAGTCCAGGAAAAATACTCTCCCCTTTTCCTGACAGACAGAAAGCTGTGCATCCTTCAATCAAAAAAGGATACATCACTTCAGGGTTCCAGTTTTATCTTGGGTACAAAAAGAGACTCAGGGACAAGTTCACAGTTCAATCTTAATAAGTCATCTTTACTTTCTGGTATAATTCAGTGCTTTGTGAGGGCAGGGGCTGGACTATGTGTCTGTATTTTTAGCACACTTTGTACTGTACCTGGTAACAATGGTAACACACACTGAGGGCTTACTATCAGCTGGGCAGTGTGCTAAGCATTTTACAGGCATTATTCCATTTAAACTTCCTAATGAGTGGTTGCAGTATCTCCAAAACACAATATCTCCAAAACACAATACATGTCTGTGAATTATATGTGAATAAAATGTCTCCTGACTTTCTTTTATATTTAGGTTATACAGCAATCAATACATGATATATTTTAGGAAAAAGGAAGAGAATCAGAGACTCAGAGACAACCATTCTGAAACTGATAGGAAAAGGAAAAAAAGGAAACTTGTGCATATGTATATGTGAATAAACTATTGATAATACTGCATATTTTAAATATCTAAGTTGTTAGATTAAAAAGCAAGGTAATTAAATACTGGAGCAAAACAGCATACAAATGGAAAAGGAAGGTGATCAACATTAAGCATTCTAAGGCCCATAGCTGTGGACTCACTTTAGGCCTTACAGAGTTAACAAGCAATTTCAGAAGGATCGCTAACCATGAAATGAATCATGTAACTTCCATATTAGTAGAAACAATGGAATGAGAAGAGAAGGGGGGTATAATCGCTAGCAATTCAAAAAGCAGCATGAAAAAAGAGGGGAAAACATTGAAAAAGAATAACAAAAAGCCTAAAATAAGATAGCATTACCACATCCTAAAGTGTCTGTAAACACAGTGAATATAAATGGACTTAACTATCTAGATTGTCAGTCTGGATTTTTTTTTTTTTAAGACAACACCAAACTAAGCAACATACTATTTAGAGACACATTAAAAAAAAAAGAAGAATGAACGAAAGTCAAAGAATGGGAAAAGATATGAAAATACCCAAATTGAATGTTAAAATGCTAATTCAAAGAAAGGCTGCCACTCCAGCCACCAAAAGATGGGTCTGATAAGAACTAATAAAATAGTCTGCAGTTAACAACCTTGTGAGGGAGCAAAAGTAACATGTCAAATGTCCACACCAGGAGTGATATGTTTCCAAAGATAATGTTGTTCTAAGAACATACAAGAAGGCTGCCTCTCCACAAAAAGAGAAATCCTGCCAATCCCAGCAATGCACAAACACTTTCTTTGGCTGAATTACCTTTTTAGTGCTAGCTGTTTGGAGACTCTTTGCCCTCCCAGCAATCAACACTGACCCCTGAACTCAAATACATACCTGCATTATGGCGTGGATAAGGCTAAACTGTAGCAAGCATTCAAGGAAGACCAGCACCTGGGTTTTGTTGGGTTTTTTTAAAGATTTATTTATTTATACAAGAACCAGGGTACAGGCCAGATGTGTGGGAGGGTGAGAGGATTCAACAGAGACAGAGAGGGGAACAGAACAGGCAGACTGATGAAATACACTGCTGAGGGGAGCAGCAGGCTCAACAGGAGAGGTCTGCTGCGCCATGTGGGTTTCTCCCCCCCCCCCCCCCCCCCATCAGCAGGGATCGAACCTGCGCTGCAGAGGCTGCGGACAGCTTCACAGTGCGGTGCTCAAACGCCTACACCACCAGGGAGGCCCACACTTGGGTTTTATGTATACAATTTCCTATCCAGGGTCCACCACCCCTCTGCCACGGCAGAGAAGGCTGACGTTCACCTGTGTGACAACTCCTAAGTACCTGGGGAAATGCACAGCCTCCAGGGCACTGTCACTCCACCTTTCCCTCCTGCTCAACAGGAAGCAAATGCGAATGACCTGACATTGATCATCAGCAAGCTTCTCTAATCTATGAAAACTGAAACTTCCTGCAAATGTTGGGTCAACATTAGCAACCATTTACTGTGACACACCTTATAGCTGGCTGTGATATCATCACTAGTTTCAAAAGCACTTAATCTGTTGCCAATCCCCACTCTGTCTAATTCTGGTATTCTCTCACACCCTCAAAAGTACCCACCCCTAACCTTCTGAGTAAGAAAGACACAGGCTCTAAGCCAGTTGCCTATCAGCCTCAGCCTGGGCCTTACCCCCAGAAATTCTATTTCATTGTTCTGGGGCAAGTCCCTGGCAACAATGCTTTTAGAAGTTCCCTGTCTGGCTCCCTGCTGACATGCTGGCTGCTAACATTTCAAAGCAGAAGTTCTCCCTTCCTTGCTAAGTTCAAATGAGAGGGTATGTGAGCACATTCTGCAAAACTTGCATTTACTATACTGCCATGCCCGGGTTCCTGCTCATCACATCTCTCCGCCTGGATTCAGTGCTGTCAAGAATACAAATACAGCTGCGTCCTAAACCACAGGCATGGGAATTGCCAGACGCACAGAGGAGCTGGGGTCTACACTCTTGCTGTGGCCTACTCTAGAACAGCAGACACAGATCAAGGCTTGTAGAAGCCAGGAAACAAGTCAAACAATTATCTACTGTTGTGCAAAGCCTTTTAAACTCAGTTAACTTTTTAACTCAGTTAAAAACATGTACAGGTTTGTATACATATCCCTATGTAAGTATATTCTCATCCCATGTACATTTTGCAAGATCTTTTTCTATACTTGAAAAACTCTAAAGATCCACAGCAAAATGTCAGCAGTGGTTAACGCAACCTAGGGTGGTAGGTTTATGGGTGAGTTTAATTTTTTTTAATTTTGGTTCTCTGTCTGTACTAAAATGTCTGGCATGAGTATGTATTGCTTTTATAATTAAAATGAGTAGATAACTGCCTCCACCCCAAAGGAGAGGAGAGAATAAAGATCTGGGTTCTCACTCAGCTCTGCCCCAGATGTGCATGTCAACCTGAGGACATGGCTTTTCCTCTTTGGCTGGACTGCTTGCCCAGTCAGGGTCTTCTCTCCCGTTCAAGGACTCTAATCACCCTCTGCTTATTGATCAGACTCCCAAGGAATGCTCCTCTCACTCTACCCCCACCCCTGACTGTGAACACATAATTTGCCATTCTGGTTTCTCAGCCTAAATTTCAAGACCCCGACTGACCCTTACCCTATGAACTATAAAAAAGTGTATCTCAGGCCTCCCTGGTGGCGCAAGAGGTTGAGCACCACACTCTGAGGCAGTCCACAGCCTCTGCAGCCCAAGTTCTGTCCCCAGCCGGCCGGGAAGCAGCCCACATGGCGTGGCAGACCTCGCCTGTCACACCCGCTGCTCCCCTCAGCAGTGTATTTCGGTCAGTCTGCCTGTTCTGTTCCCCGCTCTGTCTCTGGTGAATCCTCTCACCTCCCCTCCCCACCAGATCTCTGGCCTGTACCCCAGCTCTTGTATGCATAAATAAATAAATCTTAAAAAAAAATACTAAAAAAAAAAAAAGTGAATCTCCATAAAGACCCTGACCCTACTGGCCACATGAATGTTATGCCTTAAGGCCTGGCCCTGCAAAGCCTGACACAGATCAACCTCACCTTTCCCTCCAAGAATAACCCAATAGGCCTTGTGTAAGAATTAAAAGCAGGCGGAGTTCACATTCCTTATCATGCTGGGTTTGGATTAACTTCCCAGGGTCAATACAACAGCAGGATCTATAAGCAAATCCTGATAGGACACAGGGCAATGGTGTCACCATGGAGACAGGATCCCATAAGCCCCACAGGTTATCCACTGTGTTTCAAAGATATTCACATCCTGGAACAATAAAGGAAGTTGGAACCTGGAAAAAGAAAAACTTTATGACTAATTCTGGATAATTCTCAAAGGCAGCCAGGGTATATTATTGGCAAAAGGGAAGGGAGTAGAAACTCAAAAGAACTGCGGACACAGAGGGGTCGCAGGGGTTAGATGTTATATTAACTCCTAGGATGTGTTACTTCTACTCCTTCCCTAATTTGCATTTGGGGAAACTGAGACTCAGAAGTTAAAGAGCTTGCTGAAGATGAGAGAGTCCATAAACAAAAGAGCCAAGATTTTATCTCACAAGTGCTGGGGTGGACCCCTGGGTCTGACCTAGGCCTTGCCTGAATGAGCACCCTTGTGGTTTCAAACAGATAAACATGCATTCAGCCTTTTGGCTGACGTGAGGGATCTGCTCTCAACCCCACCGAAAAAAGTTCTACACAAAAAAAGATTAACAGGGACTGTGCCTTAGGCAAAAGCATGAGGTTAGGCCTGCAGATACTGAAGAAAACTTGAGAGGTCAGTGAAGTTCAAGTCCAACCAAAGTTTGCTCACTGGGGCAGACCTGGGGGCTTCCCTGCACTGGCACTCCTGTTCTCTCAGGCCTAAAATCAGCACAGAGCCAAGGGGATCAGGAGGGACCAGTGCTCCAAGGCAAGTTCCACCACTCTCCAGCTGAAGGGCCTTGAGTGAGTCACTGGAACTCTCTGAGCCTATTTGCACAGGACTATGACACAGGTGGAAGAGTGGCAGGTATGTGGTATACACAGCAGGCTGCCCCAGTGACCCTCCCTGGGCTGCCTTCTCCTCAAAGTCTGTAAGAAGCGTACTCCAGCAAGGACCTGGAAAATGCCCAGCCCTGGAGGAAATAGGCAGGAGGGCCTTGCTCCTCTTGCCAGCATGTTCCCTTCTCACCTAGGCAGAGGGTACAGCCTGCACAGGCAGCAGCTGGAACAGGAACTAGGCCTCTGACCACAAAGGCTGGGTCCTGCACCACCCACGGGAGAGCGCTGCCATGGACTCTGGCCAGGAGTCCTTCCCACTGCTGCTCCCTCCTGCCTCCACTCCCTCCAGCCTTCCTCCTGCCTAAGGCTCTGGAATCCTCTCCCAGTGCGAGAGAAGGAAGCTGGCTGCCTGGGACTTGGCCTTCCTGCCACCTTTCACCTCATCTGCACAGAGCGCCCTTCCCTTCTGGTTCATTCAGGGGCTCTGGCGCACAGAGATGAATGAATGGAGCAGCTTCACACCCCAGGAGTCCGAGCTCGCAGAGGAAGAGCTCTAAGGCAGCAATGTGAGGGGTGCAGTGGAAGCCCCCAAAAAGGATCTCTTCCTAAACCTCTCTGCTTAGCCCTGATCTACTTTTCAGGGCTGAGTGACAGATCTTATCAAGGCAGAGAGAGTCAAGAGACCGTCAAGCTTTTAAACTTTGCTGCTCCGGTTCCCTCCACCCCTCACCACCTGCGGCGTGTCCTTCCACACCCTCAAGAACCTTTCCAGGGCTCACTTTCCAGAAAGACTCCCTAAGACGCGCGATCCCCAGGTATTTGAAGACCCCAGTTCCACCAAGCCACAGCGTGGATGATGAGGAAACTGAGGCTCTAAGGTGCTCCTCCCCACACCTGCGGACTCACAGCGGGTTCCAACGCTCCGGCAGGCGACGGTGCAGCGAGATGCGGTCGCTAAGGTAGATGTTGATCTGGTGCAGCTTCACGCTCTCCTCTTGCAGCCGCAGCTCCTCGCCCTCCAACCGCAAATGCACCGCCTCGCCCTGCGAGCCCAGAGTGTTCTCCTGCCCCGGCGGCCGCTGCAAGACCGGGTCGCGCAGCCCGCGGCGCAGGGCGCCCCCGGGTCTTGGGGTGCTCTGGATTCCCGGCTCGGCAAGCGTGGCCCCGCGCCGCTCCCGCCGCACCGAGCCCAGTCCCGCCAAGGCCAGCAGCACCAAAAGCATCAGCAGCGCCCCCCGGCCGCGCCGCCGCAGCCCCCGCGGGCAGAGCCGCTGCGCCGCGCACCCCCACATGCGCCAGCCAGCTGAAGCCAGCGGGCAGCGCACCCCGTGGCTTGCAGAGCCGACGGAGACCCGGATCCCGGAACCACAAGCAGCGCCGCCCCGCCCCCGGCCCGGCCCGCCCCACCTGCGTCCCGCCCTCTGCCCGCCCCGTCGGCCGGCTTGCTGCAGCGCGTACCCCCAACGCGGAGGGTAGATGATCTGCAGTAGGTCGCCATGAGGACTTGCTGAGGCTTGCACGTTTTTCTTTGGGCTGCATGCAATGTTTACAAAATGACGTGTTGTAAAACCCTTAGTTTAGCGCCTGGCGCATCGTAAGCGCTCATGCACCCTGCAAGGAGCAAGGAATTTTACTGCCTTTGTCTCATTTGACCTTTACTCAGTTCACTAAGAGAGGCTTTAGGACTGTCAACTCCATTGTATAAGATGCAAAAACTGGGGTTCAGAGAGTTTAGTCCACACCAGGCTGTCTGGTTGAAACCTACTGACCCCACCTAAGACATTCAGTCTGAATCCCTTAGATAAAAGTCTCCTGGGGCCTCCCGGGTGGTGCAGAGGTTGAGTGCTGGGCTGGGAAGCTGCTCACAGCCTCTGCAGGGCCTCTGCAGCCCCCGTTCGATCCCCGGCCACCAGCGAGGGACCCACATGGCGCGCAGACCTCTTCTGCTGTGCCAACTGCTCCCCTCAGCAGTGTACTTCGTCAGTCTGCCTGTTCTGCTCCCTGCTCTGGCTCTGGTGAATTCTCTCTTCCTCCTGCGCTTCTCACTGTACCCAGTGCTTGTATAAATAAATAAATCTTAAAAAAAAAAAAAAGTCTCCTGGTTCCCTATTAATTCATATGAGTTCCTTATTCCTCACTTCACAGACATCTCCAAGAAATTCATGAAAGGAATGAACTCTTCCCTCAAAACACACGCATTTACACCCAAAACGTGATAGAGGATAAATTGTAGGCCATGCATTCCAGAAGATAAGTCCTCCTTGGCTCATGGTTTCCTTTGAGGGGATCGAGAGAATGAGGAAACCACTGGGCTGCTGGAAATATTTAACAGGATCAAGACTAGAGTGAGGCATGAGATACTCTCCAAGGTTAGCTACAAACTCAGTAATTAAAGTAAACAATATTTAAAAAAAATAGAAATGAATGCAAAAAGTTCATCATGAGCAATATATCACAGTTTTTTTTTTTGAAAAAAGATTTATTCATTTATGATTACAAGAACTGGGGTACAGGTCAGAGGTGCAGGAGGTGCGAGGATTCACCAGAGACAGCAGGGAACAGAACAGGCAGATAGATCAAAGTACACTGCTGAGGGGAGCAGCAGGTGAGTCAGGAGAGGTCTGCTGCGCCATGTGGGTAGCTCCCTGGCTGGGGATTGTACTTGTGCTGCAGAGGCTGCGGACAGCTTCACAGGGCTGGGCTCAAACCCTTGTGACACCAGGGAGGCCTATATCAGTTTTAAATGCCGATATGATCTGACACTGCTTACACATTTCACCTCTTTTCTTTTCTTTTTTTTTTTAAAGATTTATTTATGCATACAAGAGCTGGAGTACAGGCCAGAGCTGTGGGGGGTGAGAGGACTCACCAGAGACAGAGTGGGGAACATAACAGGCAGATGGACCGAAGTACACTGCTGAGGAGGGCATTGAGTGAGCCAGGAGAGGTCTGCTGCGCCATGTGGGCTGCTCCCTGGCTGGCTGGGGAATCAAACTTGTGCTGCAGTGACTGAGGAAAGCTTCATAGGCTTCATCTTAATCCCTTGCGCCACCAGGGAGAACCACAGTTCACCTCTTTGTCCTCACTTTGTCTTCACTAATCCCAGCCCTGATTCCATGTCTGATTTGATGATGATTACATGGCTATTATATACATGTGCAAAATTCATCAAGTTCTTGTTTAATATATGTGAGTTATAAAAGTTATATCTCAATTAAAAACAAACAAACAGAATAATTGAGAAAGGAGAAGTCTTGGCCTCTGGGACAAGTACCAAAAACCTCAGCTTGATGGGAGAAACCCTGAGAAGTGACCCCAAACTCTGCAAGGCCTATCTCTAGCCACTGGGGGAGGAGGGAGGCAGGGCCTTTGCACATGCTCTTCCCTTTGCTTGAAATGCTCTTTCCCACCTGGCAACCCCTTACCCATCCTTCAAGGCCCTGCCAAAACCTCCTCCTCTGTGAAGACTTCACCCACCCCACAACCTTTTAGACGGGGATATTTCAAGATTGCCATTCTTTTTATGTATTAGTCAGGGTTCTATTAGAGAAACTGAAACAGTAGGAGATATATTGAGAAACTAGTTTACATGATGATGGGTGCTGGTTAAACAAGTCTAAAACCTACAGGGTAAGCCACTGGGAAGAGTAGATCAAACTCTCTTATGGACAGGACCTCCCTGGTGGTGCAGCGGTTGAGTGCTGGGCTGCAAAGCTGCCCAAAGCCTCTGCAGCGCCATTTCAATCCCTGGCCACCAGGGAGGTTCTCACATGGCGTGCAGACCTCTCCTGCCGCACCTGCTACTCCCCTCAGCAGTGTACTTCGTCAGTCTGCCTGTTCTGGCTCTGGTGAATTCTCTTACCCTCCCGCGCTTCTGACTGTACCCAGTGCTTGTATAAATAAATAAATAAATATTAAAAACAAAACAAAACAAAACTCTCTTATGGACTGAAGTTGATGTCCAGAATTTTTTACATTTTAGGGCAATCTTAGTTCTGGTCTTCAGGCCTACCCACTGATTGAACCAGGGCCACCTAGATAATCTCCTTTCCTTAAAGTCAACTGACTGTAGATGCTAATAATAACTACAAAATTCCTTGGCAGCAAGGAATTAGTGTTTGACTGAATAGCTGGGGATTCAAACCTAGTCAAGTTGACACATCAAACCCCCCTCTCTATCAGTCCTAGGACCACCATAACAAAGGACACCAACTGGGTGGCTAGAGACTAATAGAAATTTATTTCCTCACATTCTGGAGGCTAGAAGTCCAGACTCAGTTCCATTGGCAGGGTCCTGCTCTCTCTCTGAAGTCTCTGGGAGACACCCTGTCCCACACTTTCTCTGTTTCTGGGATTGCTGGCAAACCCTTGACATTCCTTGACTTGTCTCACTCCAATCTCTGCCTCCGTCAGATGGCCTTCTTCCCCTATGTGTCTGTCTCTGAATCCCTTCTACACTTCTTCACCAATCATATTAGCTTTGGACTCACTCTGATGACTTTACACTAATTTGATTCCATCTTTATGAAGTCCTTATTTCTAAATCCAGACTTATTCATCCAGCCTTATTTCTAGGTATCAAAAATTAGAAATTCAATATATCTTCTTCAGGTCTCCTGGGGTGGGAGCCACCGTGTAAGCCATAACACAACCCTACTTTGTTACAGTGCTTCATCCATGGATTACATTTATTCCACCCTCTGGCCTTGTCACAGAAAGAATGAAGGGAGTGAGCACATGAGCTGTGGTCAGTGTACAATCCCAGAGCCTGGTACAGTGTCAGACACATAGCAAGTTTCACCTGAGGGCTGGCTCTGGTTCTTACACTCACTGTGTCTGTCTGAATTCACCCAGGAGGGATCTGATGAAGGGCATGTCTTGGTGAAGTGCAGGAGAAGTCATTACCAAAATAGCAACAGGAATTCTTCAGCTCTCCTTGCTGGAATGCTCAAAGAAGTGATCATCCAATGTGAGAGTTTTCAAAATTTGTTTCTGGAAACCCCAGGGCATCACCCAGGAAAGTTAAAAGGCAACTGACTTGGGTAAGATTCCAGTTCTGCTCCCTGAAACCAGTGTATTGGCAAATTATCTGTTTAATACTTTGAGCTTCCTTATTAGCTTGCAGCACCCTCCTCCCTAATTAGCAGGGGAATGTTACCAAGGCTAAAGGAAGTGTGTTGTATGGCACCACAGCTGCTAGGAGCAGAACAGGAAATAGACCTGAATTAGAAGGTGAGGCAGAAACTGCCAACTGTCAGCCATGGTCAGGTACATGGCAGGGGTGGGCACACTGTAACAAGCATGGGTCAAAGGAAAACAAAGTGAGACCCAAGTTAAAGAGGTGAGGGTGGATTTCATCAGTGATATTTATTTATTTTTTAAAGATTTATTTATTTATACAAGAACTGGGGTACAGGGCAGAGGTGCAGGAGGGTGAGAAGATTCACCAGAGACAGAACTGGGAGCAAACAGGCAGAAGGACCAAAAACACAGCTGAGGGGAGTAGCGGGCAAGACAGGAGAGGTCTGCCGCCCCATGTGGATATCTCCCTGGCTAGCCGGGAATCAAACCCGTGCTGCAGAGGCTGCGGACAGCTTCACAGTGCTGCGCTCAACTCCCTGCACCACCAGGGACGCCAGTAATATATTATTTAAAGAGGGAAGATGTCCAGGGGAATTGACTTAACTTTGATTTGCACAGAGGTTACTGGCATTTTAAGTAGTGAAGTGAAAAATTACAAAGAATTTGTTAATTTTAATATCTAAATGTCTATGAGGAGAGTGAGTTCTGAGCTGGTAATTGTGGAAGTTAGACACATGGAAGAGGCCTTTAGACACATCTGAGTTGTAGGTGCTACTTATACAACTCATGGGGACAGAGAAAGGATGCACAGTTGTATGTCCTTTTCAGTAACTGCTCCAGGAAAGGTTGGTCAGGTGCTTACGGTTAGGTGTTGGCTAGAACAGAGTAAATTCCCCTGGTAACGTTGGCTCTTCACCACCTCTTTGGCGGTGCTGGGGTCATCCTGGGAAACATCCTTGAGTTGCTAAACTGTGCAGCGTTTAAGTCTTTTAATGTGAGTGGAAGTGACTGAATGGAATCATTCCAGAAAATTGGTTTGCAATCCTACATGCAAACAACAGACTAGAAGAGAAAGAAATCAAGAAAACAATCCTGTTTGTAATCACATAAAAAGAAAAAATACTTAGGAATTAACAAAGGAGTTGAAAGACCTATACAGCTAAAACTAGAAAACACATTGTTAAAAGAAATAAAAGATGACACAAGGAAA